CAGAGTCTCTGTTGCCCAGGCTGGAATGCAATGGTGTGATCTTGGCTCACTGCAACCTCTACCTCCCAGGTTCAAGCAATTCTCCTGCGTCAGCCTCCCAAGTAGCTGGGATTACAGGTGCCCACCACCACGCCTAGCTAATATTTTAGTACTTTTAGTAGGGACAGGGTTTCACTATGTTGGCCAGGCTGGTCTCGAAATCCTGACCATAGGTGATCCACCTGCCTTGCCCTCCAAACTGCCTGTAATTTATCTTAAACAAAAGTAGGGATTGTGCAGCTAGTCCTGTGTTGTTATCAATGACAATTCTCATCATGTTCCTTTCCAGACTCACACCCTTCTATTCTTCCCATTTCTCTACATGAAAACCATTCAGTGTTTCTCTCCAACCCATGACAGTGCACATTTCTTTCTTACAAGAGGATTTTTTGGATGACTTTTCCTGTACAAGAACATCTGAATCAAACTATACTTCAAAAATATTTTTTAATCTACTATGATTCTTCATAATACAAAATAAACTTTCTACTAAATCCCTAAACAAAAAAATTATTCCATTAACCTATTTTGATAATTTCTGAACTATTCCCCAAAGAATCTAGCAGTTAGATTGAGTGTTCTTTGTATAACAGTATCCACAATATTCACTTTTAGTCCTACTATAAGATCTACATGGAAAGAGACATTATTGCCCATATGTATGTTGGCATCATAAACTAACACAACAGTTTACAAATACTGACAAATACTGAAATATATGACTGAATTTGATGAAGAGAACAGACTCATGGCATGGCAACCAGATCTGGAAGAAGTGTTTTCTTTGTCTTACAGGCAAAACAGAAATGAGAGACATGGGTGTCACTGAAGATGAGCACAAAGGGGCTGAATGCTGGAAAACAGGAGGCCACAAACACAGAGTTGTCCACTATCCACCGACCTGGGTTTTTAAAGTGAGTCATCCAAACTGTCAAGATAGAGTGGACCGAAAAGAAGGCAAAAAAGGAGCTCACCAGGACCATGGTGGTGCATATGGCTCTGGCCTCATGAGAAGGTCCGGAGGAGAGTCTGTTGCTACAAATCTGCTGGACTCGTTGCTTATGTCTGTACAGGACAAAGACCATGCAGCCACTGGCCCACACCATGAAGCCCAAACTCAAAAAGTCAGGGGAAAAGTATATAATTGTATATAAAGTGCCAACTCTTTCTGGCATTGCCCAGGAACAGACTCCATAATTGTTTTTCACACTAAAGTTTTTGCTATCCAACGGACCGTTTACAAGAAAAAGAACACTTGTATTTATCAAGAGATGTAAGACCAACAGAGGAAACAACAGAAGCCAATGAACTTTTGGGATCGAATTTTGAGCTCCAGCTACCTGCATATACTGGGGTCAAGCTTAATCGCTTGGAATCCATTGAGGAGGCAGATGGTGCTGAAGGAAACTCCTGTGCCCACTCTGTGATTAAAAAAGACAAGCTTACATCCAGTATTATCCAGGAAATATTTAAATCCAAAAGCTGCCATTGTCTGAGGTATTCCTTTAGAGAAAAGGACCAAGGAGTTGGCCAAGGCCAGTTAGTTGAGAATGAGGTCCATAAATCTCAACCTGTTTCCAATGAGCCACATGAAATTATAAAAACAAAGGAGAAAGGAATTTCCCAGTATCCCAACTCCAGTTTGAATAAGGAAGGTGATCCCTGTTTCTAATTTTCCAGAAGCCATTCCATCAATATCTAGGGATGCTAATTTTCATTGAAGTCAGAGGAATCAGGATTAGGAAAATCAGAAAGTGTCTTGCTGTCACTAGAGATAGTTTTCAGTGTTTATCCTAAACTTATTTTCTCACTTTAAACAGATTACGTTTTTTGCTTATTTGCCCAAAGGCAATTCATAGCAACCAGCATTGGAAAAAAACCTGTGTATCCATCTGCAGGGAAGCAGGTGAATGAATGTCGGCACACTGCACAGGAGTTGTGCACCACTGCAGAGATGAATGAATGAATCTCTGTGAATAGATACAATAATTTCTGGAATCATGCTAGTTTTGAAGATATGAATTTGTTCCAGTACAATTGACATATTAAAGACCATATAGAGCATAAAGACTTTTATGTCTGGACATGGATTATTTTCTTAACAAGAAAAACTAGATTAATGCAGAAAACTGCACCCTATTGAACCATGCTGAAAGAATACACAAAACGCACAAAGCAAACATATAACTGAGTTCACCACATATTATGAGCTGCACCCATATACACCTGGTTATACAAGTTTCTGTCTTATTTTAAATATCTCTTCTTTTACTACTCTACAGCAACCAAAAGCTGTAAACCTTCTGACATCTACTTCTATGGCAAACTTCAAGACTTTTAAAGAAAACTGCCATATTTATTATAGTATTTATGTCTTCATTAACCATTTACATGTGTAAAGTGCACTACCATATTTATTAGCCTTCTGTCTTGTTTTTACTGATGATATTTTTGTGTCCCATTAATTTCTGTTTTTCGCTGTTGATTTTGTATAGCTCAATAATTTCTGTGAACAGTATAGGTTGCATTATACCAAAAGTGAATGTATGATATTTTTTCAGGGACATATTCTTAAGTGAAAAATGCATGGGTCAGAACATTGTCCAAACTATGTTAAAGTACTTGAAACTAGTAGAGACATATACATATAGGGACAAAAGTGATATGTTGGAGAGACAGAAATGGGAGTTAGGCCTTTATGAAACCTTTTTTTCTATATCTTCAGTTTTTGCAAATGTAATATTTTACATAATTACTAATGTTGAATCAGAATAAAAATTTAAAATCAACAAAATCAGAATCAAAATAAAATAGTTTTGTGTCTACATGGAAAACAGTCTTCAAGTGAGTTGAAACTTAGGGGGTACATGCACTCATAAACACACACACACACACACACACACACAAATGAGTATAAATAAAATTAGGAAAATATTAAAATGATAGTGAATATATCAAAATCAGTATCATCATTGTGATATTATACTGCAATTGCCAAATGTAACCACGGGGGGAAGTTGGGCCATGTGCAAAGGCTCTCACTGAGTTATTTCTTAAACTGCTTGTGAGTCTAAAATTATTGTTAATAAAATAGTTAAAATGCTCAGGAATTCCAAAATTATTGTTAATAACATGGTCAGTTAAAATGCTCAGGGATATGTAAGGCAAAAATAAGGCATTATAAATTATTGTCCGTCATTATGTTTTCATACACATCATTGGTGTTGATGCATGGAAACAAATAAATAACCCTACAATATAATTGGTAAACAAGTATTTTGGCATAGGGCAAAGTCAGTACAAACACTAACTCAATGAATTTAAACTCTAAAGCATATACTTTTGAAGAGAATCAATTTATGTGATACAGTTATGTGCCATATAACCTCATTCATATCAGTGATGAACCACATATAATACAGTGGTTGGAGCAGTAGGCCATACCATATATCCTAGGTAGGCAATAGGCAATTCCTATGTAGGCTTGCATCTGACAATGATAAAATCACCTAATATTTCTTAGAATGTATCTCTCTCATTAAGTGATGTATAACTATATTTTATTTAAAACATATATTTTGTATGATTTTACATTAAAAAATCTAGACCTCATCAGATAACTCCATAGCAGTGACTATGACCATTGAGCACCCAGATTCTTATCTAAATCTTATCTAAATGCCATTTTTCTGTTTCTTTTGTTTTCTTTTCTCTTTTCTAAATGCCATTTTTCATGCAAAAAAACAAAGTATCTTGAAAATAAATGCTGATTGCAGGTACACTCAACTCAAAAACTCTTAGTCAAATAAAAAAAATCTATGATGTTCTAGAAACTCTGGGCTTACTATCTGGGGAAACAAAATTCAGTAGGCAGGGGATTCTACTGCACAATATTCACACAAATCACCAATCAAAGAAACTGTAACTCCAAAGATTTGAAACTCAACATATATGTTATAAAAATAAACGTTATTTACATATATATTAATAATTAATTTGTAGGCTGGGTGTGGTGGCTCATACTTGTAATCCCAGCACTTTGGAAAGATAAAGTGGGTAGATGACCTGAGGTCAGGAGCTCAAGACCAGCCTGGCCAACATGTTGAAACCTGTCTCTAATAAGAGTAGAAAAATTAGCCAGGTGCAGCGATGGGCACCTGTAATCCCAGCTATTCAGGAGGCTGAGGCAGAAGAATCTCTTGAGCCCAGGAGGCGGAGGTTGCAGCGAGCCAAGGTTGCGCCACTGCACTCCAGCCTGGATGACAGAGTGAGACTCTATCTCAAAACAGAAAAGAAAAGAAGGCCAAAGATTTGCTGTCTATTGGAAATATTATTTACAAATAATAAAGTAAAATAAATTACTGAAGGATAATTAAATTTTGGGGAACAACACTAAAATCAGGTAGTTTTAAGGGAATATTGAAGCATAAAATACTATTAAAATATTAAGATTAGAGATAAGTGATAGGATAGAATAATTGTACCCCAAGATCAAACTCTAATGTAATTTTAATTTCCAATAAAATAACTTATTTAACAAACTTGTAATCAAAATAGTAATTATCTAAATTTTCTTTTTATGAAAAGTAGTTTTAATAGGTAAAAATTAAACACAAATGAAGAAATTGTTTACCAAAATAAAACAAAATAGAAAATTAAGTAAATGGCACAGAAAAGAAGTTTGTAAAACAAAACTTACACACATACATACTTTGATATATATAAATTATCAATTTGTGGGGAAATCGTTTTAGAATATGTTATTACAATATTTGGATAGCTAATTCAATTAAAAATAGAAAAATCTGACTTCACAATTATAAATAAAGTTTAACAATACACTGAATCTGAAATACAAAGATAGACAAATCTCTGAGGTAAAAGTATTGGAGTGCTTTTTCAGAGTTTGGGGTTAAAGAATCATTATCATTCGTGGTCCAAACTGAAGGCCATTTTATGTCAAAAGAAAAGCATAATAATACTCTATTAGTAGAAATCACATTAAACAAACAAAATTAAACACAAAATTATTTAAATATATAAACCTAAAAGTTATTGACCATAACTTCAGTAATGATACTAACTAGATGAATAGAAGACCAAAAACAAATAATGGAAAACATAAAAGCTGTTCTTAAAAGAAAAATAATAATATGCTTCTAAAAGTTTGTTTTGCAAGTGAGCAATCGTGTATTTCACGGACATCAATGAGGATCTTTGACAAAGGGAATATACAGAAAAAATAATCACTTACTCTAGGTCAAGCAGGTGGAGTTCTCAAAGCTTTTACTGCATGTATATAGTTAATGAATATCTGAAGAATCCCCACCAACTGCCAACAAGGTTCTTTCTGAGGATTGGGATAGATAAAGAGGAGGAAGATGGTTATTTTAAAGTAAATATTCATGTTGACTTATACACCCACTGCTTTGTCAAAATATTTATAAAAATTATAATTTATAATGCTAAAATAGAAAAAAATAGGAACCAAATTCATATGGAAATAAATTATAGAACTAGAACACTGAAACAAAATAAGAGTAATAAAAAAGAAATGGATCAGGAATTATCTTAAAGATGAATCAGAAATAAATTTAAATAAAACACATATTCGTGAAAAGATGTGTATGAGAATATAAAACATTTGCATGAATTGGATTGTTGGAACGGTACAAGACTATTAAGGTTTTATAACCATCTGGTTACATTTCAGCATAACATTTGTATTTTAGACTATTAAAGGCCCTAATTTGTCCCTACTTCATGATCTTATTTGCCATATGCATCTTTACATAAAATTTTTATTTCTGTAAATAGGAGATAAAGGAACTTCTCACTGATCTGAGAGATGCTATGAACAGCCTTCCCCTGATGATAGAAATTTAGAGACATTTTATTAAAGTCTGCATTTGACACCACATGCCCGTGTTCAAAATAAAACAACAAAATGCAACACACACCAGAGACTATCACACAAGTACTAAGTTTCTACTCTGGTGGAAGCCCATGTTCATTGTCCTATTACTCCCCAAATGCCTGTGTTCTGAAGTCTTTCGTATGAGTGCCAAGGGATACTATGTTTATTGAGTAGAAAATCATGTATATATGCTTCAAAACACCACGTTATACATGACAAATACATATAGTTTTATCTGTCGACTTAAAAAATAAACAAGAGAGAAGTTTCAGAGAGAATATAATTGAGTGGAGAGAGGGGAGATGTCAGGGAGTGGTGCAACATATGGATAGCAGTAATTTGGCTGTGGATTCCTCCAGGAACATCTTTCTCTTTGGTGTGTGTTTGTTCCTATTTGTCTACTTACCTATCTTCCTATCTATGTATCTGGCTAGCTATTACCTAAAAAGCATTTTAGTTTTTATTTCTAGCCAGGGAAGTCTGATTTTTTAAAAAGTATTTCTGAATTTCCTGAAAATTCCTTCTAAATATTAAATGCTTATCTGAAAAAAACAGTTATTTACCAAATTTGGATCTGTTTTGTGGACAGTGGGTGCCAGGTCAGTGTCAGTGCCAGAGTGTAGAGGCATCTGAACCTGAGATAAAGGTTTGGGATTCTACGATCTCATCTCCTTGCTGGGAAGTGATTATCATTTCACCTGTAATTGCAGTGACAGCGTCTGCACAGGGAGTTGAGATTATTTCTGAGAACATATGTGCAGACTGAAAGT